AGGTACAAGTCCCACGTCCTCCCATTATACCACCCACGGCCAAATTACCACCTCCCTGCATATCTCTGCTTATTTACCATCAAACCACTCCCACCTTGTCATCCAGCTCTTGACACGTGCACGCATCAAACATTACACCGTAAGAGTACGACACCCGCCTCACCGCACCCCGCCAGCACCCGTACGAGTGACAACGCCACACGTCGTGCCACCAAAGTGGAAATTAAATCACCTGGCTGAGCTCATCTGTGTGGCCAGTCAAGGTTAGGAAGCGGTGAATTTCCAGAGAACATCGACCAAATGACCGAAACATAGGAGACACTGGTCTAGAAACTTCCAGCCAAATAAATGCCTTGGGCCCAGGTCTGGAGAGTCATCCCTCCGCCTACCCACACCTCTACGTGGCACTCCACACCAGCACCTCACCAGGGACACTACCTCATGTACAAGGACCAGGAGTGCGCGTCAGGGGCAGGTGCCGAGGCCAGGTACTGTACGCCGCTCCACCTCCTGAACCAACTATGCTGTAATAATTATGACTGCTGGTTCAGTGAAGATTGCGTATGTGAAATGTCGGTTTGCACGCGTGTGGAATAGGTGCGTGGGAGTGTGGAGGACGCAGGGAGATAAGGGAGGGAGGGGAAGTTGTAGAGAGGAAGGAAAGAGCAAGAGTGTGTGCGCGCGCGTACGTACTTTACAAGTCACATTTTCCTAGTTGTTATTTACGTGTCCAGCTTTTTTTTCAGAATATACGTTTTATTGGTCATGTAATTCCACGTCGTTCAGCACCCCAACAGAAGGTGTTAAACACGTCGGAAACTCATTTCCCAGTGACAGCTTCCAAACTGCCCCAATAATTACGCGTTTTACTTGTATTCCTTATATTTAATACTGGGAGGGGAGGTGGTGGGGTACACAGCGTCTGCTGGGTCTCTGCCCCCCCCCCTCTCTCTCCCTCTCACGAGGCACTGAAACAAATCCGTCTCTGAAGCTTTGCTTTTCTTATTCACTTCCATTTTCCTTTTCTGTAACAATTCCACGGAAATCACATGTCATAGTTCACATTTTAATCCATGGAAATTACACAGGGGTCTTTATATATGCTAATATTTCCCAACACATTTAACACAGACCTACCCGAGCAGCCTTTGTCCGTCCCATACCCCAGACCATTTCCCTTGCAAATTTTTGTAAGGTCTTTAGCCCCAAGCGTCTGCCCTTCAACTTTGGAGAAAAAGACATTCCCTGTAATAGGTACAGACGAGGGGAGCAAGAACAAGGCAGGAGAGTACAAGTGATTTGAAAAGTACAGGCATTGTGGTGGTAGTCCTCGTGTTACCGACGGGTGACTACCAGGGTGGATGATGGGTGGCGACCAGCGTTAACAAAAGGGGTACACATGCTTTACCAGCCCTTCCCTAACCCCGACCCTGGACGACCACCACCTTCAAAGGGCAGAAGAACTGCCCCTCGTATGACCAACGGACACCTGACTAAGAATGTTAATTTTCCTGCCGGCGAGCCCAGTGGTCGCGATATAACGGCCCGCCATCCCCTCTCACCTGATGCCTTTCAACCAGAGAAGACTATGCTAAACGCATCCATGAAGTGAATCGTGGCAGTGACTTCCGCCACGGGCGAGACCTGGTCGAGAACTGGGCCGCGGGGACGTTGAGCCCCGAAATCATGGCAAGGTAACGGGGACAACAGAGTCGTGTCACGGAGGGTGGGTGAACCCCGCGCTTACAACAGTTATAGCGGTAAACACCATCAATGGTAAATCAATTCTACTGGATATATGTTGATAATTATTGAATATTTATGGCGCCAAATGACCCCGTCTCTTACCCCCCCCCCTCCACCCTTAACTATATTCTCTCTCCCTCCCCCTCTCCATCCTGTCTTCCCCATTACCTTCTCTCTTCTACCGCTTTATTTTCTTCCTTTTTATATCTTACCCCTTACAGACTTTCCCTCTCCCCTATGAACCTTCTTCCCTAAAGCCTCTTCACAGCTGCTGAGAAACTCAACACACCAACAAAGCGAACCAAAATAATTCAGCTTCATTAACTCTGCCTCCTAAAGAAACTGTTCACAAATATGGACAGTTTTTGATATATTTACGCTCAAGTCAGTCCTTAGCATAAAGGTCACCGGATACGAATGTCGCCAAGATTCCAGGACTGCAGGCGCCGATGGGTTGAAGACGAGTCCCGCGCAGCTGCAGGTATGGACTGGTAATGTAATGGTTGGAAGCACAGCTCCTGCATCTACACCCACGATGCCCCTGTTGCCTGCTACATGTCCGAGGGGAGGGGGTGTACTGGGGGGAGGGGGTGTACTGGGGGGAGGGGGTGTACTGGGGGGAGGGGGTGTACTGGGGGGAGGGGGGTGTACTGGGGAAGAGCGCGCAAGTGACAGGTGCAGTAGCACTGACCTCGTCATGTGGTGAGGGATGGCAGTAGAGGAGAGGGCGGCGTGTTGAGCGTGGCGGGCGGTAGATGCTGCAAGCAGCAGCCACAGGTCACCCCTGTCTGGCCACAGTGTCTGGCTCGCCACCCATTCCTCCCACTAACCTTTTACGGCTACCTACCCCCAACTTTTTAACCCGCCCTCCAACCTCACTAACGTTAATAAGGGTACCCGAGTACTACAGGCTCTGGGCCCTCCATCATTCTGGCGTCCCGGGTAAGGGGTTCAAGCAAGTGGAGAGCGGGCAGGCCACGAGGACCCAGCCGGGGCATCTTCCCCCCTAGTCCTCCACACTCATCAAGCCAACCATCTGGCTATTCACCTTGCTGAGTCACCGTCCCCGGGCTCCACCATACCATAATACACGCAATGCAATACAAAAATATAACCCTAGTGTTCCCCACCTAGTGGGAACAACTTTTTTTTGTTAAATTGTCTGGTATGCATTCTACTTTATGTCTTCACAGAAACGTGGTATTGTGCTGACCCGACACGGCTTTCACTCCAGTTCGAATCCCAAATAATTTAAAATGATTAAAGTTGAGTGTTATGGGTGAATTGGGCAGAGATAAGAATAGCAAAATGAAGCCTCTGTGTATTAAAAAGCAACACTCATCATCACGAAGATGCGCTACAGTTACCAGCGTGTTTCCACTGCAGGAGCACCACCGCGGGCCAAGAATGTCCGCTGGAAAAAAAAGTGGTACATACCGCACCTGAGCGGAGGGGCCGGCCTGAAGGTTAACTGTGAACCAAGACCAGGAGGTGAGCCCCGGGTCCTCGTCACACAACACTTGCGCCAAATAACTCTCAAGACCACCTGTGGCATCCCAGCACACGGCCACCACAGTAAACATAAGGGCAACCGCACTGAGCATGGCTCCCTGCCACCACACGCCATCACCTGGTGCCACCACCACAAACACGCCACCACCTGGTGCCACCCACCACAAACACGCCGCCACACCACCTACCTTCCCCCCCCCCCCACCACAAACACGCAAGCAATACCACTTTTAGATAACCTGCAGAGTAGACGATAGTTCTCCTTAGGTCTTTGACATAATTATTCCAAGATCTTTGACTTTTGTCACTCCTGTCTACCAGGAAATCTGACCAAGTCGTGTATTATATATTCATCTTAATATTTTCGTTTTATCATATAATATCACAAAAATAATAGTGATACATCTCATTGTTTGCCGTTGCCCACTGAAAGTCCTCGTTGATACTTGATTGCAAATTTGTTTGTGTTATCCACCAATGTCATTATCATTTATTTTGGTGTTGTCATTGGTGGATGACACGAGACTGTGGATTGTATCTTGTGATGAGGAAGAATAGTGCGCGAGGACCCAGCTTCGTACGTTACTCGGACTTCATTATTATTGACTGCAACTCTTTGCAATGTGTGTTACCCAACTGAAAATCCTCCTCCATACCTAAATTGTTATTCTCACAGCTTACATTTATGGACTATTTCCCCAGGATTACATTTACCATTTTTTTTGTTCAAAATCTGTGTATGTGACATCTGCATTTTGGTTCGTTTCCGATAGCTCTTATCATAATGGTCAAATAGTTGTAAAATCAAAAGATCTTCATGCTATAAAACAGTGTTTACCCTTGTTGTATAACTAGTTATTTTTCATAAAACATGTTTTCTTGGCACTTTCATAAACCTTAATGATTTGGGGCGTCAGTGCGACCAGCTTGTAATTTCTTGGTAATGCTTCACTACCTCCCTTGGGTAGTGGGAGGATGTCTGCGAGGTTTACGGAATGTCACCAGTCTGCAGCCGTTTTCTTCATGTTATACTGAGGGACCAGGAGCACAGTGCATGGGCATAGAATTTATTTCCTTTTCGAAGTCAGTAGGCTTTCTAACATCTTTCAAATGACTGGAGACTTAATTCATGAACAAATTACGAGGAAGCTCTACTTTCATTGTGCCCATTATATAAGCAAGCTTGATTCATAATAACATAATTCCTATAAAACAATTGTGTTCATATCAATTTACTATCTCTTGTAAGTGAGGTCCGACCCGCATGAAGCGACGGTCTCGCTTCATGCAGGTCGGCGTTCAATCCGCGACTGTCCAAGTGGTTGGGCACCATTCCCTTCCCCCGTCCCATCCCAAATCCTAATCCTGACCCCTTCCAAGTGCTATATAGTCGTAATGGCTTGGCGCGCTCTCCCGATAGTTCCCTTCCCTTCCCCTTGTAAGTGAGCCTATACTTGAATAGTTTTGGATTTACGATATGCATATGTTCACAAGTATTTTTTTTATTGCCTGTCTTGCATGACTTTTTTTCTCTTATATTCCTTCATATTAATATGATTGTGGGTAGGTTTGTTACCACCCTCACCAGGCTACCATCCACACCAGGCTACATACCAGTATCAACACTACGGCACTGCGGTTATAACTGTACCCACAACCAGTGAATAAGAACAAATGGAAACTTGCCACACCGGGAAAGGCAACAGGAAAGATGCCACCGAGAAACACAAGGGTCAACTTACGGTATGGGACCCCGGAGCGTAGGTGCCATAGCTGGCACCATGCTGTTGCTGCTGCTGTTGGAGCTGCTGCTGCTGTTGCTGCTGGGCAGGCGTATGGGGTGAGCCGCCGTTGTGGTGTGTAGGGGTGTGCGAGGAGGGTGTAGCCCGCCGTAGCTCAGAGTAGGAGGAAGACACAGGCGAGGGCGGCGACGGGGGCGGCGGGGCCTCGTCAGGGGGCGGGAGAGGGAAGTCCTCGTCGGGGCCGAAGGTGGCATACTGCGCCAACCCTGCCAATATAAACCACGTCATGCGCATACTCTCAACAAATAATGAATATTAAGTATTACAGCCCAAAATGTTATGAGTGGCCAATAATGTTTACAATGATACTGCTTAGCGAGTCTCGCACTAACCTGCCCTAGCGTCAACATCACTCACCGTACAAGCACTCACAAACATTGCCTTAGCATGAAGTAAAACGCTATGCAACAGTACGTAATTATATTTAATTATATCGCCCGATATATACTCAATACAACAATGCTGAGTGATATTTAGATGTCCCAAAGGGGAGCATATTTCGTCTCCAGCCAGCAGCTGACCACTATGGTTGACCGCAACTCCCCGTCTGCGACGCGCACACGCACGCGCATGAAAGCGACGAGACTGACGCAGCACACACAATACAGTAAACATGAGAGAACAAACACGCTGTTGGACGGAACGTGTTTGATTCTCACGTAACGGAAAGTTCACATGGAAAGAACATTCGGACAGATAAAAGGCGTCAGTCGGAATCTCAAAAAGGAAAATAGGAGAGAGAAAATGAGGATTAATGCATACACTCACATACACGTACACACACACACGGGGAATTTTTCCAGTGTCAGGGTAGTTAACAAATGGAATGCATTAAGTTGTGTTGTGGTGGAGGCTGACTCCATATACAGTTTCAAATATAGATATGATAGAGCCCAATAGGTTCAGGAATCTGTACACCAGTTGATTGACAGTTGAGAGGCGGAACCAAAGAGCCAAAGCTCAACCCCCGGAAACACAACTATGCGAGTACGGGGGGGGGGGTCATTAACTGTTCAGGGAGCAAACTAGGGAAAACAAGCTCAGTGACTAAATGAACTATATTTTATACAAATTCTTCAATGTGGTGATAGAAAAGTGAACTAAGGCATTAAGTGGCGGAGGCAGTCTCAGGAGGAGGATAATGACAACTTAATTTGGCGTATCATTAAACGTATCATTATCGTTACATGCACATTGGTGTGTAGACGGGAGACATCTCCCGTCACGCAGGGTGCAGTCGCACCTCCACAGATCTCCAATAACATCTACTGATACTGGTTATGGCTCAAAAGGGCCACCACTTACGGGCTATTCATGCCCGTGCCACCTTTTGGATGGCTTAATCTCCATCAATCAATCATTTATGTGCATGTAACAACTGCGGCGGCTCTCCCCACGTTAATGTTAACCAGTCAAGTGGCTTTGGCAACCTTGTCAACAGTTCTTTACACAAGTCTACATCCTTAAGGAAAGGTAACTACTTGATACTGCTTTCTTTCTTTCACTTACACTCTTCATAGCAGCTCAAAGTGCATTAATTACGTGTTGTAAATAAATACAAGACATTTGTTTCCGCAAATCAATAATATTTCCGGTGCACTGCCATTAATTTCTTTTCTCCAGATTCACTTGCCCAACTACTTGGGCTGGACGGTAGAGCGACGGTCTCGCTTCATGCAGGTCGGTGTTCAATCCCCGACCGTCCAAGTGGTTGGGCACACCCCCCCCCCCTCGCCCCATCCCAAATCCTTATCCTGACCCCTTACCAGTGTTATATAGTAGTAATGACTTGGCGCTTTCCTCTGGTAGTTCCCTCCCTCCCCCGTCCAGATTCACTTGCCTTAAATCTTCCTTAATCAGTCGTCAGTAAGCACTGATGAGTGGCAGGTCTGTGCACGTTTGGAAATACAATTATTTGTTTTAAGAGTTTGACTTGTGTGGTCTGTGTTGCAAATTTATTTTATCACGAGGCCTGGTGGAGGTACCACCACCAGGCCTGGTGGTGGAGGCACCACCACCAGGCCTGGTGGTGGTGGAGGTACCACCACCAGGCCTGGTGGTGGAGGAGGTACCACCACCAGGCCTGGTGGTGGAGGAGGTACCACCACCAGGCCTGGTGGTGGAGGCACCACCACCAGGCCTGGTGGTGGTGGAGGTACCACCACCAGGCCTGGTGGTGGAGGAGGTACCACCACCAGGCCTGGTGGTGGAGGAGGTACCACCACCAGGCCTGGTGGTGGAGGCACCACCACCAGGCCTGGTGGTGGTGGAGGTACCACCACCAGGCCTGGTGGTGGAGGAGGTACCACCACCAGGCCTGGTGGTGGAGGAGGTACCACCACCAGGCCTGGTGGTGGAGGAGGTACCACCACCACCACCACCAGGCCTGGTGGTGGTGGTACCTCCACCAGGCCTGGTGGAGGTACCACCACCAGGCCTGGAATATAATAAAATGTCACCATTAGCCTCGTATCGCCTCACGCAGACCTGCTCGTGTATACTTTGTGACAAGCGAAGCATTTTTCCAATTAATCACTGGCCCATTATTTTACCGTAACATTTAAACCCACAAAAGCAAGCTGCCAGAACAGTGTGACACCGTCACACACTGGCTACGAGCAGTGAACAATTCACTTCCAATAAAGTCCAAACACGCAGCTACAACGAGAGCACTTGATACTGCCCGAGGAGTGCTTGCGAGGAAGTCCTGTGCTAGTATTAATAGCAAGGCCGGTGGAATTAGGCAAGGAAACCAGCCAGCAATACCAGCGCCCGGACGCGTCACCTGCTTCCTCTCACGGGTAAAGGCTGCATTATGCACCAAGCAAGTCGTCTAGTGAGGAGCCCGGGGGGTGAGTGGGGTCTGCATGAGGGCAGCAAGTGGCGGCATGCAACATTAGACACGTGTTACTGGGGGAGCGTGGCGGCCAGCCCCTGCTTGCTACATCCAATAGTTGCTAGAAAGGTTCACACCGGGGCACCGCGACAACCGCCATTACTAAGCCAGTACGACCCAACTACACATAACCTAACCCCCGAGTACACACCCACAAGCCTCCTTAATATTGCTTGTAAACTAGATGTTGCCTAGCTAGAGTACAAACAGTGTTGAGCGAAGGAGGAGTGCGGAGAGCCCCAATGATTCAGGGAGGGGAAATCTGCCCAGCCTTCTGGCATACTCGTACTCCCTCACCTTCTGGCTCCAACCCCACCCACCTTCACCCCCGTTAACCCTCCCATTAGTATTTCACCCCCCCCCCTTACACTCCCACAACAACCAGACACCCACAGCCCTCCTAGCATACTTCTCCCACATCCTGACAACCCTCCTAGCATTATGTTATCTGCCTCCATCTTCTGTGAACTCTGAATAAGAGTTGGGGCACACTATAACACTATTTGTGAGCGCCCTGTTAGAAATTATTTTAGATCAAATGGCATGAGATGCAGGGAGCTCTGTAACTGCTTCGTACACTCAGGAATATTGGCAAATATTCGTGTACTCTACCTCGAGATAGCAAGGGCAGGCTAGTAGACTGGGTCAACTCATACCTGGCTCTTTATAACATGTAAGCACTCTTATAGTGAACGACACATCCTGGCCTTTACTTTCTTCCGGCCCTTTAGTCAACTACATTACATGCACGTCCGTGTACAGTAACACTGTGTGTATAGTTGGTCAAATGTAGGAACATGCCCATATGCTTGGGGCTAGTCTCTCCCACCTTTCCAAGGTGATACATGATGAGTATGGGAGTGTCATAGGGCAGTCGAGGTCTGCTTCAGTGCCGCCCTTTGAGAAATATCGGCATCTATAGCGACCCCCTGCAGTATTCATTAAGTCTGAAATCTGAGGATTGTTTTGCGACAGTTTTGTTTAGCAATTTTTCAGCACTTCATATATTTCAGCAACACATAGCTAGCACTCGACACATTATGTAACCCTTCGTATAGTCTGGGCGTCTAGGGTAGCTGCATAAATGCACATACAACTAAAGTCATTAATAAAAAAAAGCTTCATATTAAATTTTTCGAGACAGAGCAATGGGTTGGTAAAGGCGGTATTATTAAAATATGAATAAATGTTATATCAAACAAAATTGTATAAAGTTAGCCGTAAGTTAGATATCGTTGGATGCTAAGAGTCTCATTAACTATTTGAATTTACATTCCTTGGGTGAAGCATTTCGAAGTATGATTCGAACAGAGGCTGTGAGCCAAGTATTGTTGGAAAAAAATAAAAATGGGGATTTGGCGGTTGGATTATAGAGCATTTGGCCATTGTTTATGAGGACGGAGTTATACTTGACAGCTGATTACTTTAGAATTTATCTTCAACATTGTTTCACGCTCTTCCTGTGTTTGAACTCCATCTGTAAATGCTTCATCCACGAACTATCAAACCAAATAATTGGCAACAAAACCAAAGAATTATAAAAACAATAACATAAATAGAATATAATGTTTTACTGGCCAGCATCCCTCGGATGCATCCTTGGGGTCGCCCCGAGCTTGGATAAGCTTTATTTACAAGTATGTTAAAAAGGTTGCGGGCTTGGAAGCACAACGAGATTGTTTATGAACAATCAATAATAATATTTTGTTAAGTTTCCAAGCTTGTAATGTGATTAGGAGAGGAAAAATAAAGCCAAAATTATTAAGATATACAGTTTCGTAGGTAGTTGCGTAAATGACTGATAAACCCTAGGCCTGTTCTTTGGAAGGATGAGGAACTAACTGCGCCGAATTAACCTGGCCTACGTGGGCATACGAGTAAATCTTGCCTACGTACGCGTACGAGTGAACCTTACCCACGTTACGTTTGAGTTTCTTTTTCTCACGCCACCTCTGCAGATGGGCCTCAGGGTTGACGGTACGACCACAAGGTTTGTACACGATCATGGTTGTCTTGTTCCACAGGTACTATTTCCACCAGCCCTCACTGTTCTCAACACACACTTCAAGAAGCCACTACACAACTGTCTTCGAACCAGCTCAACCAGCCATTTATCAAGTTTGACTCGAGAGGCTGGTCTCTGAAAACAATTTGGCCACCGTGGTTATCGGCAGCTGACACTTATGAATCTCTGGTATTGAGCAGGTAGAGAAGGGGGCCTCGCAGGGTGCCAGGGGGATACCCTACTCTGCAGGAAGGCTACACACAGGCGAGAAACTCCGGTGGTCAAAAGCAGGACTACAAGAGCCA